CTCCTCCTTTACATCGCTCGTTTCCCCTCCAACACCGCTAAGAACACCGCCGGCTTTTCTTCCAGGGTGTTCCAGGGTATATGGCGAGCTCCTCGAATACGGGGATACCGGTGGTGGAACCGAGATAGAGCGGATAACTCGATCCGTAATATCCACCGGAGACTATCTTACACATGCCGGCCAAACGTAACGGTACAACTTTTGCCAAATGATGCCATTCGTTTAATTTCTTGGAACGACCGAGCCGACGTTTTCCGCCCGAAATATTAATAACGCGCCACGCCCACCGTCAAAATTCTACGCCGAAATTTTGTCACGAAATTTTCCCCCTCCCCGATCCCATCTTGGAATTGGAAAACTTTGTTTCCCGATATAATAATAATAATAATAATAATAATAGTAATAATAACGATGATGTAAATCGACGTCTCGGCGAGATTCGAAATAACAGGTACGCAGATAGGTGAGCAGAGCAGCGAGTGGCAATATCGTCTATGATCCGATACGAAATCGAAAAACTTTCAATCCTCCGAGGAGCTATCGTAACAAACGTGGCCAATAAACGCCACGTATACCGCTGGACGGTATCGAGGCGGAAACGCACCCTTGAGATGCACCCTAAGGTTGACGACACTTAAAGGGACCATAATATCCCCTCTCCCTCCTTTTCCTCCTTTCATCGTTCGTAAGACGATACGTCGATACGACGACGACGACGACGACGACGACGACGACGTGATGTCGGTAAAAAAAATTGATGAAAGTAATATACACGGGTGAACACGATCGTTGGAACGAAAGAAAGAAAAAAGAAACGAGTTAAAACGAGAACGACGACAGGGTCTAAAAATGATTAACCACCGTTACGTTACACGCTACTAAACTAGACCGATGCCGATGGGGTGCGTGGCTCGAAAGACGGAGGTGCTCAGCGTGAGTATTGAGACGTTCATTAGCGGCGGGTACGCTCTCAGCGTGAGTCAATAGGGACGATGGCGTTGCGCGAGAGAGAGAGAGAGAGAGAGAGGCGGCATTGATAGTTGATGAAAGGTCGTCCCCCGTGGTGGCTTTATACGTATAGATAGATATACTATACGAGCGTACCCGTGACCCGTGTCAGCCCTCTCTCCTCCTCCTCCTCCTCCTCCTCCTCTGAATTATGCTCGCGGCATGCTTCGGTTCGATCGAACGCACGCACGCACGCAATATCCCCTCCCCTTCTTTTTAAGAAAACACTCGTTCGATTTCCTTATCGCTCGAGAAGAGGTTGTCTCTTTCTCTTTCGCCGCGACACGTCGTCGAATTCGTCTTATCCGTCTTCGTCGTCGGATAGAGCCTCTTTTTTCGCGGTTCCACCCGCGGGAGAAGTTGCGCAGGCGGTCGCTCTCTCGCTCCACGTACCGGCGTCGGGGCATCATTAGCCTCGCATTGTACTCGCAACACGCATACCTACTCGAGGCAAGAGTTACCGCGACACCCGCTGCGCCACGGAGATCTGCGATAGAGTTAATGATGCTGGGACCGCGGCGATTTAACAATAAGCCGCATTATTTACAGTCGGCTCTCGGCTCCATTACCACCGGTTCTGTGTCCGACTCACCTGGTCCCCGCTCCTTTCTTTCCTTTCTTTCCTCCCTTCCTTCCTTCGCTCCCCCCAACCTCGTACGTCTTACGTTGGCGGCGGCGGCGGCGGCGGCTCGCGTTACTTCACCGCAAATGCGTCCGGCCACCGATGTTAAATCTTTGTAATCAGTCGGCACCTACGCCCCACCCTCCCCTGAACGTATTTATACGGCCAAGTCACGAGAACGAAGTGGTCGATTCGAACGAATCGATGGAAAATGTTCAAATTGTAAATTATCTCCGAGGGGAGGGGGATGATTGAGAGAAATCGACGGCTCTCCCGTTGGATCGTCGACTCGTTAACTGTTAACGACGATAATCGTTGGGCGTTATATAAATCTTGTTATTTTAGATTCGTCCCTTCGAAGAGGCACGGTTTTCGAAGGAAGAGAGGAATTTGAATTTCTACGACACGATTGGCGAGATCGCCAACGAACTTTTAACCGGATAAACGCGGAGAAGATATATATATATATATTCGTAAATTCGTGGTACACGCCAACTTAATAAGAGCAACAACGAGATAATAACTGTTGGGGTTTGGAGTGGAGCAAGGTTTAATTTTGGGTAAAGCTTGATAGTCGCCGAGGGAGGTTGCTCGTTACACCTTGGGCAAACCGGTGGCTAAAACGGTACACGCGACAACACGCTTGGGAAATACCGTGGCCGAGTTTCGATCAAATCTTAAGGATTCCTCCATCGTTCTTCAACCCCCTACGAGTTTTCGCGCGATCCAATCGAGTCCCTTCTTCCCGCCCGAGCAGTCGTCGCGAAGAGAGGAGGAGAAGAAGGAACGAGATGGCCGGAACGCGGCGTATAAATTTTTTTCCCCGTGGTGGAAGGCGGGGTAGAAACGAAGCCGGCGAACGCTCAACAGCTGTTTCTGATAAAAAAGCACGCGGTGTTACGGTGTCAGGAACAGCGAACCATTCCCAACCGGATCTAAACTTGTCCGTTAGCATTGGCATTTAAGACGAATCCATTCGAAGCAACGTGGAAAACTATGCCGTAAATTTCGATTAATTGCCAACAGGTTCTGGTCGAGAGGAAGGAAAAGAAAAAAGAAGGAAAGCACGATTAAAAACTCTCACGACAACAACTCGTAAGAAGATCGAGATGACCAAACGAGGAGATGCCTAGATCTCGTAGATCTTTTCTCTTCTTACTTTTTTTTTTTCTCCGTCTAAAAATTTTTCTCTACGAGAAATATAATCGCGAATATCACACTGACACGATTCCGAATCTAAAAATTATCCGAATTTCGCGATACCTTTTTCTTTTTCTTTTTCCAATCTCTTGGCGAAATGTTACGTAATTCTATCGCGTTTTTTAGGATGGAAGAAAGTGGAAGAAATTGTAAGAGGGATTAAGGAGACGGATTAAAATACGGCCATTTGCTGGCGTCGAATTCGATTTAATAAATACGTTGCGTCTGTCCCCTCCCTTAATGAATTCCTGATTTATCATCCATTAAGGTGTCAGGACGCGCTCGGGTTTCGTTGCTCGCCACGGACTGGCGGAAATTTATGTGGATAGGTGTGATTAATGCGATGTTCGCGGAAACACACGGACATCTGTGTTAATGGTGACGGATGGCTGCGCTAATGGTGTCAGCCACCGTCACCCGTTCTCGTCGCGTTCTCCTCCGCCTCGCCTCGCCTCGCCTCTGCACACTTCTCACCGCCTCTTTCGCTTTGGGGATCGAAACCCACCGCGTCCGTCTTCCCTTCGGATCGCCGCATTTCGTGGATTAATCGCTCCGACGAGAACAAACCAACTTTCTTCCGTTCCTTGAAAAATCCCAAGGAGTCCTTTTTTTCCCTCCCGAGTCTTCCTTCTCCTGCGAGTCAACGAGGGGATAAAACGCGTAATTAATGTTTCTTCTCTTCCTCCCCCTTCCTTTCCTTTTCCTCTCGTTCGCGATGCAAGGATGGATTTGGAAAGAAGGAAGATCTGTAACGGCTGACTTACGATCACGATCTGATCGATTAATTCAGGAATAATATTTAGTTACGCGTCCGAGATAACGAATTAATTATTTTCGAGGAAGCGGATTTAATCGAGTGGAAGGAAGGAAAGAAAGGGAAAGTAAATTTCAGCGCGTCAATGTTGGAAACGGGAGGCGACGAGGAAGTAGAAATAATTTTTCCGGGCAAGATACGCGATTACCAACGAGGCGAGCGAAAACTACCCCGACACGCCGAATGGTCCTCGAGTGGAAAGGGAAGGAAAGCTGCGGAACGCGTTGGGTAGGCAGGTAGGCAGCCAGGCAGGCAGATATTGAGCTCTATATTTCCATAAGCTGATATTTACGCGGCAATATACGCGGCCGTGCCCGCTACTTTATGGTCCTCGTAAATATAGCGGGCCGCCGGGAATTGGCTGGCAAGGCGGCCGTGTCTTCTCTCCCGTTCCCTCCAACCGTTCTCTCTTTCTCTCTTTCCACATTCCCCGTGCCCGGCCTCATCCGGCGCAGAGACATAAATCGCCGCCAATTGTAAATAATACGCGACGTATGCTGATCTTCGTTTCTACGTACCAACGCGTACGTACGTACGTACGTACGTAAGGTGAAACTAGTCGCTAAGAATTCACTTCCCGCCGTCCGTGAAATAAGCGTTTCGTCCGATCCTCCGACGCTCGCGAAAATTCGAAAAAAAGAAAAAGAAAAGAAAGGAGGAGGGAGAATATGGATTACTTTTAACAGAAATAGAATTTTTTCTGAACGAAAAATCGAGCCACGTTGGAAAAGTGGAAATCGCTACTCGAATACGGTGATAAGTAGGCGATGTACTTGGCTCGCGTTACGAGCTAATGCCTTCGACGTGATGGATGACATCTGCGTTCAGTTACATTATTATTATTATTATTATTATTATTACGTTAATGTCGCGCTATCGATAATATCCGAAATTTAACGGGACAATTGCAATTTTTCTTCTCGTTCCACGATACGGAAAGGCGGGACGCGATCCTTTTAGCGGATCGGTCCGTGAGATCTTACTCGCCGTCCGATTTTGGCTTGGCAACCGGTGATTATCCGTCAAGTGGAAAGGGACTGATAGATGGGGGTGCTTCCCGTCGATATGCTTCGCCACACGCTACTACTTTATCATCCCTCGCCACCCGACCGTCCATCATTCGCAATCACTTCCTTGCGCGTTTACTGCTCTTGGCGCGATCGATCCGAATTTCGTCTCGCCCCCTCCCTTCATTCTAATTTCGCTTCTTCTCAATTTTCTCCCGAAATATTCCTCACCTCGATCGATTATTCGCCAATCGATCGTATATCTGTATAACCGATTTTTGCCTGTTGCGTTGAGTATACGAATCGTATATATATATATATGTGTGTGTGTGTGTGTGTGTGGTGACGATGATAATTAATCACGTCTATTTGTTAAAATTTGGAGAAATGGTCGAAAGATAAGTGGGGATTTTCTTCGGTAAATCTGACTCCGTCGTCGGTCTTTCGTAAAAGGAGCCATTCTTCGACAAACCGAGCAACCATTTATCTCGCACAGTTTCTTGTCTTCTTTCTACTCCATTTACCGTTACGTCCGGAACATTAATTTCCCCTTATAGCCGCCAACAGTCGTGTTTATCGTTAGTTCCTCGCCACTTAGTCCTGGAAAATATACACGTATAAGCCCTCTTCTGACACCAGGTTATGTGCCTATATCGTACGTGTAAATATCTACGTGGTACGCGATAATTTTCACTCTGGAAACCAAACGATCGAAAAGAAGAGCAAAAAAGAAAAAGGAAAAAACGCGCAGCTGTTGGCCATAATTTCGTCCGACGAGTATCTTCGTGTAGCGTTGTTATAACGCTGCGAGGAGGGAGGGAGGGAGAGAGGGAGGGAAGGAAGGAAGGAAGCGAAAAACTCGGGCCTACGATCGTATCCATTTGTTCCGTCGAAAATCTCTCTTCTCTGTTTGTGTAAGGAGGAGATAAAGGGAATGTCGATAAATAAATAATCATCGTTTCGTTTCCTCATTCCATTCTAGTTTTTCCCCTCCTCCGAAACTCTATCCGTAACTCTTTAGCATATCAGTTTTCGTAATAAAAATAAATTGATACGTTGTATCCACGAGTCGAGTTTTTGCTCGTATTAAATATGTATATTTTTATACCGGCGCGAATCGTTAGATGGTCGTAAATCTTACGATTGCTAAAGATGACAATTTATGTACGGTACACGCTATATATTTTCTAGTCTACGCTTCCCTTCCTGTCAGATTTTCTTTCCCTTTTCAACTTGGTCGATACGTGACCTCGTAGTGTATTAACGGTACTAAATAAATTCCATGATATAATCTACGGCAAGCTAGAGTTAATAACCCAGAGAGTTTACGACCAAGTACATCGTTAGCTTAATTTTATTCGCTGTAAGTAACGATGCGTGACTGGCTGATGGTTCGAGTTAGAGAACCACCGTGGTATTTAGCGATCGGGATGGAAAAATATATTCGAAACGGGAGGGAATATTCTCTTTTTTCTTCTTTTTTTTCCTTCTTCTTCTTCTTCTTTCGAACACGAACGAATGCGAATAATATACGGGAAGGATCGGAAAACGATCGGAATCGGATGTCCGCGCGAAGGATATTTTGGTGGCGCTTTAAACCGCGTGTCTACGAGCGTGTTGTGTCGGTGAGCACAAAAATAGGCCTCACTCCGCACTCGCTTCATCACCGTGGCGCGATACTTATCCCCCTCCCTCCTCGTTCCTCGCCCGACGGAAAGACGACTGACTCTGGTCGTTGGCTGAAAACGTTGGCGACGCGCGGTTGCGTGCCATTTGCCCGGCCGTCGCCACTTTACCGACGGAGCTCGAGTTCGAGCATTTTCAAAATTTGAATGGAAATTGTCGAAACGAGGAAATTGTACGAAAAAAAATTACTCGTAACTACGATTACGTTGATCACGATGATGAGAAAACGAAAAGAGGATAATAATAATCGACGTAACAGGGAAAGCTTTGTCGCCTCGCTATACTTTATTCTAATCGGTAGAATCGTTTCGCGTTGGCGACATTTGTTAAATCGTATGTATAAATGTCGTAATTATTCAATCTTTTGAATCGCAGGTTGGAACGATGATAAATGTCAGCGGATGCCGAATAAGCGAACCAGGGACGAAGATCTAGCGCTAACTATATTCACCTTGTCAAGTCATTCCGACTTGGTAAACACCACGACGAGTAATGCCTAAGATTTTACGGTGACTCGACTTACGACAGAAGCGGCTGTTTATCACGGTGTCAGAGTGACGCTCGTGCCGTTCGAGACGATAAAACGAATGAGCTATGCGAGGAACACTCTGAGAAATGGTGTGCCGCTTTCGAGGACCTTTTGTTGCGACACTGATTTTAAATTAGAATTTATAGGGTGCCTGAAAACGTTTCGACGAGGCCACTGTATTTACTCGAAGAATATCCCGATAATCTCTCTCTCTCTCTCTCTCTCTCTCTCTCTCTCCTCCCCGTTTTCGTCAATCCACCGATATAAACCTGTCCACCGTGTATCGTGAAAATCGTTCTGGGCATCTCGAACGAACTACTACGTGATCGTTTTCGATATACGACTCTTTATTCGAATTTTTATTGGACGCGCGTTTTTCCAAACGAAATTTCCAAACTTTCTTCTCCAAAACACGGCTAGGATAGGAATCACGGACGGGATCCGTGATTTATTTTCGTCGCACGGATATCGAGTCGAAACGACTGGCAACCGTTTGGCAGCGATTTGGAGCGTGAAAATTTCAATCATGTTACACATTAGGGGCATTCCAATCATCCGGATCAGTCGTCGACGCGTTTTAAGCCGCGCATCAATCTGTTCGGTTCGATCGAGGTGCGTCGCGATGAAAAGACGAATGCTTACGCGGATAGGTGCTCTGGCTGTACGCCAATGCTATGCCATCGCTGCGTTTATTCCGGCCAACTGGTTCGTGCAACGCATCCTATCGCCTTACCCTGCGTCTTTTATTCTCCGACGGTTTCACCTTTATTCACCATTTCGTACGTAAACCTCCATTTCTGTCTTCCCCACTTGAATTCTCTGAGATCATGTCGAAATCCGTTCCCTCCACGAAATAAAATTAATTAATCGAATCATTCTTCGAAGAAAGAAGAACGATTGGAATTTATCGCGAATTCAACGGTTAAAAATAAGTCGAATAATTCCTACTCGTATTATTTATATTTCAACGTTTCGAAACTCAACGGCGAAGCGTTTGAAAATTATCCATTTGTTATTACGTTACGTTACGTGCGCGATTATGATGAAATATAAGATGCAATTTGTGGGACGCATTAATGCAAATGACCCAAATATGACAGTTAACTGTTTATAGGTCGCGATAAATAATGGGCATTTGTTAACGCGACAACGCGAACATTATATGCAAGGATCGATGTACGGTTAGCTTAGCGTTCATTTCTCTCCATTAATCACATTCATGAAATCCAAGTGTGCCTATGTAATGGCCTATTAATAGGATATAATGGCCATTACGTTCGCTGACATGCCACTTATTGTCGGCGACTGAGTAATGCGTTAAACGTGGGATCATACCGTCCAAACCGTGTCACTTTTATACATTACCTAATAAAAAATATATTTTATAAAATCACGAAACGATACGATACGACCGATAACGATCATCATCCTTATCTCTTTCCCTATCAGGCGATTTTATTTTATTAAAATTAATTACGAAAAATTGGCAAAGTTTCCACCGATTATCTTCCTTCTCTTTCTTTTTTATTCCGCGTCGCGAGTAGAAAAATATATATTGATTGAAAAAAAAAAAAAAGAAAAAAAAGAAAAAGAATCGGATCTTTCCGTTCGATTTCGTTGGACGAACGATCCAAACTCGGTTTTTTGTCCCCCCTCCCCTCCCCTCCCCCTCTCCTCTTTATCTTT